TGTGTTATTTGCTTCATTTAATGTATTGCAATTTGTTCTGGATGTAGTTTTATTCGTTGCGGTCTTTTTTTGTTTTAAATAATTTTTGCTCTAAAAATTTAATGGATAATTTGTTTAAAGTAATTATTATATATCTACAGTAGAGATCTTTTACTTCCCGTCTTTAGTTTGTTCATTAGTAGTATCTCATAACGCGATTATCCTTTTCCAAAGCTTAATATCACTGAATTGAGGTCAGTGTTTAAGATAACAGACATGCTTGAATAGCATCAGATATTTAGATGATTACTCTGCAATTTCATTATTATTTTTTATTATTAATTGAGATAATGAAATAAGTTATCTAACTTCATCAATAAAGCTTCTTGGAAATTATGTACAAACGAAAGAAAATTAAACAAAAATAATGTTCCATTTTAAGATATGTAATGATTGGGATTTCACATCAAGATCGTGGATAGATTCAAAAATAGATATGAATTTAAGTCTTAATTACAATTTTATAAAAAAAGGTAATAGTGGTAAATCTCCATTTTCGTACAAATTCATTTAGTACGGATTTGTACATTTATGTGTCTAAATGTAGGGACAATTTTTTTTATAATCATTATTACATACAGATTATCTATCTATAGATACATATTTACTATATTTTTTTAACAGAATCATGGATTTATACTTAATAATATATACCAAATTCTGTAAACTCACGCTAGTAACCGCAAAACTACTCTTTTATCTTTCTTGTACCATCCTATTAACTATTATCCTGTTTCTATTCTCTTTACCACGTTAGCAAAAAGGGTCGCATTCCTTGCTAAGCTGGTTTCTGCCATTGACCCCTGCAGAACTTGCCTCTCACTGCCGTGACTCATGTCGTGTTCGTGTTCATCCCATGAAGGTTTAGTCACCAACAAACATCACTGATTGCCTCCAAATGACACGTTCGCTCACTTTCTCAGAAGAAAATCTTTTGAGAATAATTAAATGAACCAAAAGTTTGATTAAGTTTTCTTTCTTTTGATGATCACTCTCTGAATCATGTTTCCTCGATTCATGAACGAGTTCCTATAGACGAAAATGTTCCTTTTGTGAATGTGTGGAATAGTAGTTGATTCGAATAGATAGAATAGAATAACATGAATAAAAGGATTTTTTTTTCATCATATGTCATATTTTTCATCACTGGTAGGCTTGATAGTGTCATTAATATACCCTGGAAATTTCGAAAGAGTCTGTATGTTTTGTTCAAGAGAAATTGCAGTTGTTATGTAAGAATGTCTGTAAAGTAGATTCCCAGTTGATTTATATATAGTTTTTTCAATTTTATTTATAGTTTTTTAAAAATTCCCAAAAAATTTAACTTTGTTCTTTTGATTTAAAAATTAAAAATGTGAATCATTAAAATTTATGGAAAAAAAAATATTTTGAAAGAATTACAAATAAATAAATAAAAATCTGAATATGCTGTTATGATTTTTTGGAGAAAATTTAAATTTAAATAAACCCTTTTGAAATATATTTTTTTAACGATGGTTTCAATTTCATATCTTAATATTTTGTATATCTAGCTCACAATTCGTTCATCGCTGTGAACTTCATTTAACATTCTTCACAATATTTTCATTGTTATCATTTGATTTCTTCATAATCTGCGGGACTATAATCCGACGTGTATATCTGCAACAAAAGATAATTTTGGTTGGAAAGCTTTTGACTACAAGCCATACTAACGCATTCTTACCCCATAAAAAATATGATGGCACTTATGAGTGGAGAAACGCTCTATCAGTTGAAAAAACCAAAAAGATGTTTCGGCTTATTTAGATTAGATACACAGTCTTTATCGATTTATATATTTTGTAGTCTACATAATATTATTAGAGGACACGTGCCATAGAAACCAATTCGTCCCTCCCCCCTGGAGAGAAGGAAAGGAAGTTACAGAATTTTTAAAAATGTTTTTATATTTTTAATTTTATCTATTTTATTTTTTTAGGTCGTTATGCTTGTATGCTAAATTATAACTTTATTTTTTCAAATAAATTCATTTATAGTGTTAGTATTAAAATTGATTTCTATGATAATTAGCTTTTTTATGCAACACCACGCCAGCTGTAGAATAATGTATTTTCTCATTCGTCCAAATTTAATTCTCATATAAGTTCTTTAAGAACAAAATCCAAATAAGCATGAATAAGCATTACGTTTCAACAGTGGGTATAAAATATGTAGATATAAATTTAAAAAAATTCTAGCTATGAAAAAAGTAAAATTATCTTAGTAGTTAAGAAAGTTAATGGTTTCTTTTTTATATGCAAGTTTGCTGTGATTCTCCTACAATTATGGTTAATTCATTTTTAAAAAGACCTGATAATCTTATGCAGACTAATTGTGATTTTTTTTTTAACATCATCAAATTAATTTTATCTTTCATCATGCTCGGCGTGATTATATCTTTAAATGAAAGAGTTGTTTGGTTAGATTTTTTTTTTATGCAAGATTTTCTTAGAATATTATCTCTTTCCTCTGGTTGTTCTCTTTCTACCTCTTCCTCCCACCCTCTTAGTAGCCAAAGAAACATCACGTCCTTGAAAAATATCTCATTAGCGAACTTAAAACTTGTTGGGCGAGCAAGGGTTTAAAAAAAAAAAAAAAAACTTTATCCTTTGTTTAAAAAAAAATGACTCGTTGGAGGTTTTTTTATGCATGTATGTATGTATTTATTTTTTATTATAGCAGAGGTCAAAATAAGCGTAACTAGTGTTTCTCAATATTAAATACTACAATCGTTGTTCTTAAATTTTTTTTTACAGAAAACAGTCTCTTTCTTTATTTTATTAGGTTGCTGAACCGTGCGTTTTATTTATTTGTTTATTTTAAATTTTTATTTGCAAATGTTCCGAAGAACATTTTGCCATTTTTTAAAACTTTTTTTTTATTTCTTGATAATCCTAATTGGCATTGCCTATCATTTTTGAAAACTAGAACAATAATCATTTTTGTTCTGAAGTTGACGTTTGCGGATTAGGAAGTTTTGGAAGTGTGGAGAATTAACCTTTTTTTTTTTAATTATTTTGTTGTAGTTTTATCAGTTGTCATTCATGTTTTAGTGTACCATTTCTGTACTGTATTTTATGCAACCAACTTTTAAATCTTTTTAATGCTACAAAGTTTTTTTGTTTTTTTTAACACTATTTTGCTTGCTTTTTTTGTATGATTCAGTGTGGGCAAACTTATATTCTAGATATTGTTTTCAGAAATTATTCGATTTTAATGTATCATCATTGACTAATGATACTTTTTTCTTTGAAAAAAAATTATTTTTTATTCTTAATATTAAACAAATTCTTTTCTTTTTTTAAAAAAAAATCATTATTTTAAACGTTTACTACAAGGGAAGATCGCTATTATATATTTGGTACATAAAATAAACAGGCATAAAATATATTCTTTAAATGGGACTTTTAAACGATAATAATAAATTATAATTTTTGTATTAATATATTATTGTATTGATTTAACTAATTATATATAAAAAATGCTTACGTATGACTTACAACGTGGGTATTTAAAGTTAACAAATAATATATTTATACATATTTCATATTTCTTTTGGGAGCCATTTTTAACAGCTATTATTTATTTAACGTTATTACAACCAAATAGACAATATGAAGTAAAAAATTTAAGCTAGAATTGTATAGAATAAGTGCAATGGGAAAAAAATTAACAAAACAAAATATTTATAAATCCAGTCGATTTTCCTTTAATTTGTTAAAGTCTAGTGTGTAATTTGTCAAGATTGTTTGCAGCAATTATCTAAGATTTGATTAGTTAATTGTGAGTATAATTTTGACTTGTTCATAGTTATGCATAAGCATTCACTGAGGTATGTTGTACAAAAAATTGAAAATAGCCAACAAGATGCTTTCTAAGTTAGGATACTTTGTTTCTGAAATTAATTTCCAAAACTTAATGAATGTTAAAGATTTATGCGACATTTGTAGTGCCTTTCCACCTTCATTTCTAGTACGTCTGTTTCTTCTGACGCTGTATCGGATAGTATTACGTCAGAAACTTGAAAATCATCTTGAATAATATTAATTACAAATGGATTAAAAAAGAACGCAAATGTAAATTTGAAACCACTCAGATATTCAAATAGGTTTTTTTCTATTCTCTTGATATTCATTCATTTTATCTTCCTCGATATTTAAGGAACTTGCTTTTAAACGAGAAAAATGTTCATACTTTTTTAACTTCAGATAATTTTTTTCCCCCCCTTTTTCATAAAATATAAAAACGCGCTGTTTTTAGGAATTGCATTTGCCCACCATTGATATATATATATATATATATATATATATATTGCCAAATAAATTGTGAGAAATTTGGCATAATGTGTAAGCGCGGAACATTAATTTATTGTTTTTAAATAGTTCGTCTTCGAAACATGTTATGTATTAAAATAATTTTTATTAAAATGGAAATTCAAATGTTATTTTCGCTTGAGGCATAAATACAAATGCAAATTCTACCATTTTGGTCCAAGTTTTTAAGTAATGGTACTAGAAATTCATCCATAGAAACCTGAATTTCAATAATTTATTTATTTAATATACAAAAATTTCTATGTCGGAAGATTTAGAATTTTCTTTTCCCTCTTCATATAAGACAAATTTGTTTCAATCCTCTTGACAATTACATATGTATCATTCTCAAATTTGTTGTTTCTTATCCCACTTGGCTGGCCAAGCCCATATGTACTCATGATTGAAGGGGAAGGAAGCAGCTTCTGTTGTGATGGAGCACCCGTAGGTAGAAGCCTGACTTTTGTTCCGTGACGCTCTTACAGTCATAGAAGACCGGGACCTACGGCTTAAAGTGGATTCCGAACCACTACAAACATCCATGGCACCGCCGGGATTCGAACCCGAAACCTGTGGCACCGAGCGCCAGAGCGCTAGACACTCGTCCATTCAGGTCCCAAATTTGCCAACGGCACGCAGTGTTCCCAGGTGGTCACCCACCCAAGTACTGACCGCTCCCAATGATGCTTAACTTCGGTGATCTAAATTCTCAAATTTAACCTTAGCAAGGAAAATACTACTTTCATATATTCCATCATATGGTCTTCTGTTAGGAAAAATTCATAGAAACATAGGCTCGTCCTTAATTGACCTACCCTTATTATTACTCTTTTTTTTTTATATATCTTATTTTATCTAGATACTAACAGAAAGAAGCATTTTAAGGTGTTTCTTAACCTTTGTGGTTTCCTTCGGAAATACGTTCTTAGAAGAGAAGATCTTGCGGTTGGGTGGGGTTATCAAAGTGATAAATCAGAACTGCATATGATTCACCTTGACGTTTTTTTATTAATGCTTCTCAGTTGCTCTTCTTTCTATTGTATCACTGCAGCTGCTATCAGATGCATTTGAGTTACATTTGTACATCTCCGTTGCACCTGATGCATCTGTATTTGAAATTACGTTTGTTCTGAGAAAAAGCAATTACTGAAATATTATCATTCGCGTCTTGTCTCGATTCGGCAGGTGAAACTGCTTTTGTTTTAGTATCAAAATGTCATATTATAATATTTCATCGCAATGCATTTTAAATAAAGGAAACTCAGATAAGAATTTATTAAAATGTCATTAACGTATTTTTTCATAAAGGATGATGCATAAAAAAATATTTAATTTGACCACTATTATATCTTAAAAATTTAATTCAATTTAAAATAAAATTAATATTAAAAAAATCAGAAAATTTTAGAATTTACTAATATTTTATTGCTATCGTAATCTTCATGCTTAAAATTATATTTTATTTTACTTCTTGGGGAGGGGGGGGAATTGTATGAAATATTGAATTTTATATATGTTTTTTTTTAAGTATTAAAAAATAAACAAACAAAAATAAATAAACAAAACCAATTAAAGTGATAAAACCATTCATAACGATCTTTTCATCAAGTCCACTACCAAAATTTACCACTGGTCTTCTCATAAATTATACTAATCCACAGATTGTATTCCAAATACAATTCGTCTATAATAATGGAAATCCTACACTTCTGTACATAACATGTAATTCATACATTTATTTTATAGTCTTGCTTAATCAGGTATGAACTAAATATAATTCATACCTGATTTATTTATGAAGTTTGACTCTTATTGTGGATTCTTTCATGCATTAGTACTTAAAAATTTTCGTTTCTCTCACTGCCATCGACAGCATCATTAAATTTGTTAAATAATTATGCAACCAACTGTTTTCAAAATTCTCGTTTAACCTGTAGTCTACCTCATGCGGAGTACGAATTCATTAAACTGGTACTCCAAATCTATGTGTATCTGATGACTTTTATTTTTGAATAATGATTCTGTTTTCTTTTTTTAATGCCCTGCATTAAGACGTCTCAACCACCTCCACTTTTTAAAAATCATTTGTAGCTCATTTTTTTTGTTTGATTCTTTTTTCTTTTTCATTTGTTTAAATTGCCACTCTCGTTTTTTTCAATGATAATAACAATGTCGTTATAGTGCAGAAATGTGTCGTATGATTTATTTATTTATTTATATATTTAATGCACAGAAAAAAGATTACAGAATTTCTTATTTACATTCGAAAACTGAATTCAAAACAAGAATCCGCTATCTAGGATGTGTTAAAGGCTTTTTTTAAAAAGATATGTTAAAATTCGTAACTTTAAAAATGATAATATAGTATAACTTAATGAAAATGAAATTCACCAAAAATGAAAAAAAATCATTGCATTTTTCTCATAAGTAATCTAAGCAATTCAACAAATTTTTTTGGCACCCTATCTGTTTATAATTATTTCTTATTCATTCAACAAGTTTTGAAATATTTTTTAACAGTAAATTAAGAGTAATAATAAATTAATAGCATAATACTGTTTTTTATATGCATGCTTTTAAAACAATAGTATCTTATGTAGTTGTGGGGAGGGGAGGTTTTAAAGTAATTTGGCTATTTCTAATTGTCTTTAATATTTTTAATTTATTTTCAAGAACAATTTTTTTTTGTATTAACGAATCTCAGAAAAAAGATTAGATTTGCTTAATGATAGAGAAAAAAGTTTTTTTATTAATTTTGTGACATTATTAGAGGAGATTACTAATAATGTTGGTTCAACAAAATAGCATTACAATATGTATCTGAATTATTATTATATCTTAAAGTACTTTCAAATTTGTGAATTGAATTTTATTAATGCATAATTAATAAAGATTTCTAACTTTTTAGAAATAAAAATGTAAAGTAATATTAATAATATACTTAATAAATTTATAAGTTAATTATCATTAAGTAGTATATTTGATATACTTAATATTATTTATATATTAATTCCATATTTTTCTTTGTTTAGTATTAGCTGTTGAAGGAGCTAAATTAATAATCAATCCATCTGGACAAACTCAGAGTCAGCCAGCAGGGAAAGGATTTGGCTTAACATGTCAAGGAGAATCAGAAGATCCAGAACTTTTCACAGAAATGAAATGGGTTGGTCCTAAAGGAGAACTAGTTGAAGGGTAAATTTATTTCTTTGTAACAGACTGGAAAATAATTTAAATTGTTGTTTTTGCTTTATATACCTATTGAGAAAACCTTTCTTCATACCTTCTAATACATTAACAATTTAAAAAATAATTTTATTTTTTAAGATTAAAAATAAATATTTTAAAACAATATAAAAAAGTTTTATATTAAAACCTAAGAATTTTTTATTTTAATTATAAATTTATATTATTTTTTAATACTTAAAAGAAACTAAATATTTATGCTATATAATTGTGTTGTATAATTGTCTGTTGAATATTTATTTTTAAATAATTACCCAAAATTTTACTTTTGTATAAATTGAATGTTTGTGTTTATTTAGATCTTCAGGTCCAATAGAAGTTTCCAAGGCTGGAAGCCTACTACTACTTATGTTTAGAGAGCCAACTACTGAAGATAGTGGAGCATATAATTGCAGTGCTATTTATGACAGCATGGACAGATTAAATACTGGTGTACAGTTGGTTTTCTATCGTAAGTCATAGTCCCCTTTTTTCCCCAAAATTTATTTTATTTATATTAAACATATGCATTTAAATGTTTACATTAAATGAAAATTACAAATTTTATTGAACTTTCAATGACCTACAGTATTATTTTTTTAAAGAAAGATTTGAAAAGATTCTTTCCAAGTTAAGAAAAAGATTTTTATGACTGCAGTAAAATAATCTGGTTTTTAAATGTTTGTCTAATTCTTACAGTTTTCAATGTGTATAAATTTAAATTCTATCTATGAAATTCTACTTTTACTATTTGTTTTAGCTTATTACATATTATCCCATGCAGTAAAATGCAATTCATTCAAATTAAGAGGGAGATTAAAGATATTTATTATTTTGCAAATCAGGCAATATATATATATATATATATTTAAAGAAAATAATTTTTTTAATGTTTTTATATGCAAGCAAATGTGATAATGGGTGGTGCATGCATGCTTTTTTCGGTGCATGCATGTTAATTCTTCATTACATTTAAAAATATGAAGCCAAAATAATAAATATATTTTTGTGGGAATTGTTTTTTAGAGGACATCACATGGGAAGACTGTCCTATGCAGCAAGCTTTAGTAATTCAAACTGATGGAAAAATTAGATGTAGAGTATCTGCTAATCCACCTGCCACTATTACCTGGCAAAAGGATGGTCAAATGCTTACTGACAGGTACATTATTGAAAATGATGGCATCAAAGTGACTGGTGCCACGGAAGAAGACAAGGGTGAATTTGCTTTGAGAGCCATGGTTCAACAAACTGGAAAATTTCAAGACAGGGTTATTACTGTTGAAGTTCATGGTAAGTAGTGTTATCTACTTTCTATTGAATGAAATCAATATCTGAATATGATATTGTAACTAAAATAATAAATATATTTAGTTTGCATTTAAATTTGTTTTCATCAATTCACTGTTCAAAATGTTGCTTATTAATACATGTATTATAATTTCAAATATTATTTCAAAACTATGAAATTCTTGCATTTTAATCTGACTTCACTTAAAAGTCAGATTAAAAAGTCACTTAAATTTTGTATTTAAATTATTTTTTATTAAAATTGTATTAAAAGAAAAAATAATCTATTGCTTCAAAAATCGATTGCACTAAAAATTTCAGTTTCCAGAATGAAAAACATTTTGAGTTAAATTAATTTATTGTAGTTAATTTTGGTACCCAACTACATTATTACTATCGTTTAATTAGTTTCCTTTGAGCCATTTAAAATGATATCACTTATGTGAAAATCTAATGATAACTACAAAAATTATTAAGGGTTCCCATTTGGGGGGGGGTAAGGGGACAACTGTACATATTGCACATACCTTCATATATGACCTTCCCAATAAAATGGCAAATTAAGTAATATGTACAAAACTCATACATTCATTATTTATTATCTGAGAGAATAATGCAAGATTTGGAATCTATACAGACAATAATTTATTGAACCAGCTATCTGCTGCATGTATTTTCTGTCATATAATTAGAAATGGGAATATAGGTATAAATGTAAATTTAGAATTATAAAAAAAAGTCTGATAAATTTTGATAGTGATTATAGTTTGTTGTTTTATTATAAAAATTGATGAATGTTACATTAACCAGAGAACAATTATTACAAATATCTGATCTGCTACAAATAATTAAAATAATGAATGCTTACACATAAAAAATGTAATGATTTTAATATTTAAAAAAAAATAATAATAAATTATTAGGTATATAATTGTAACTGTAATTTAATTTTGTTTCATTATGATTTATTTTGTTATAAATAATTATGAACTATTTTTAAATTGATAAAATTATATGATAAATAATATTTGCAGCATGATATTTATTAATGGATTTTTTTATACTTAAAAAGACTACACTTTAAATCATATTTATGTATTTTTAAATCTAATTTTGGAAAAAAATTGTTGATTTTGTAGAATACTACATTTAAAAAATTATATTTCAGTTCCTCCTGAGATCATTGAATT